CTGTATTAACTATGTGGCGTGCTTGCCAAACCGAGTCATCCTCATGCGCGCGGGACCTTGATTCACGACAACACTGTTTTCTTTACTGAAATGATCGGGGTGGGAGCCGACCAACAATCAAACGCGTAATAGCTTGACTTCTATCCACCTGAGAAGCTTCAAGCGAAATCATCTCACATGGGTTTCATGATTCTTGAATTGGTCCATTCTACAAAATGGGGTGAATTTACATACTTATGCTCAAGACGGAGCGTCTGCCAAATAAGAGGGTATACGATTAAAGAGCCGGGAGAAAAACAACGACCGCCCTTGAAGGTGGGCAGGTCAATTGTAAAGAACCGTGTAATGAACGAACGATGGGGAGGAATTCCATGGGTGATATGATGGTGGGTTAGACGTGGCTATGATATGTATCATGTATATCGTGGGGAAAGAGTGTCGATGCTAGTATCCACCTGGCGGTGTTACCGTAAAAAAGTGAAGATTTTTTGTGGGATGTGCAACGCACCTATTAAAAAAATAACGTGAACCAACATCCACGCTGGAGAAGCAATAGTGCGAAGATCAGATAGTGTAGTGTCTATCGAGCTGGTGCAATGTGGTAAAATCCAAAACAACGACCATTTGCGCATCAAACTGGGAGCAGGGACCAAATTATGGTATTCTCCACTCTATGACACGGCTTCTTAGGGCAGCCAGATCTTGATGGTCAAATCGACGCTGCCTGACGCGACGACATTTACCAGCTTTTCGGGCTCTGCCGACGGACCTGCATCTGCATCCGCCTTACTCTCTACCTTGTCCGCGTTGGCCCCGGCGATCTGTCGTCCCCACGCTAGGGTGGTGACGAAATGCCCATGCGCGTCAACTGTTTTCATGCATCTTCCAGTGGAGAGTTCCCAAACTCTGATTGTCTTATCGTCAGCGGCGGAGAGAAGATATTTCCCTGAAGGATGGAATGCGAGCGCTCGAACCCAGTTGTCATGCCAGGCTAAGCAATGGATAAAGTTTAGAATTCGCAAGAAAGAAATTAACAACGGAGGGCTCACGAGGTTGCGTAAGAGTTGACCGCTTTGGGTGTCCCAAAGTTTAATGGTCTTGTCTCGTGCGCCAGTGGCAACATAGAGACCGTGTCGCTTCGAACGATCGGTGTTCTGTTTTGTGGAATTAGGAAGGCGAATACGGGATATCCAAAAGACAGACAGGTATCCCCCCAGCTCTCGGATGGCAGCATATGCGGCAATTGGTGCAAACACGATAACCTCAATGTCGTGTTCATGACCTCGCAATTCCATCTTAGATTCACCAGTCAGGGGGTCCCATATACGGGCAGTCTGTTGCGTATTCGATGAGAAAATGGCTATCGGTTTGGTGCATTTGGTCTAACCTGATCTTTCGAACCGCTGGCAATCATCCGCCCATCTTCGGATGGAACAATACAACGAACCCACTCGGAATGACCAGAGATGGTTCGTACCAGGTGGCTAATAAATTATGAAAATAGGTGTTGTAGGTGTTCAAGAAACGTACGTTGATGCGACATCGAATACGCGGATTGTGCGATCCCGGCTGGCACTGACGATGAATTGGTCTCCAGGCATAAATCTCACAGCTGAAACAGAATGCTCATGACCGGGAAATGTCTTGGTGTTCTTCCACTCGTTCTGTGAGTCCCATATTTTGATGAATAGATCCGACGAACAGGTTACTGTACGGTCAGGAATCACCATAAGCAGATGGATTTTAGGAGGAACTATCCACCGCACCTAAGAGATTGCCCTTGTGGTCAAAATCTACATCCATAACGGCCTTCGTGTGCCCTTTCAATGTTCGCTCAAATTCGCCAGTTTCCCAGTCCCAGATTTTTACAGTCGCGTCTTCGCTTGCGGACGCGAGGATTGAGTATTGGGGATGGAACGCTACGCGTGTGATGGGGGCCCGATGACCTGTTAGGACGTGCGCTGCGGGTGCACGGGGAACCCAGTCCGTTTGTGAGGCAGCGCGTCTGGCAGGGGACAGGGAGAGTTCCTCCTGCAATGCGGCATTTCGATTCTCTAGATCCATAATCTGGAGGGTGATCAGCATCGGTTTGGACGTCTGTGGGGGCTGATAAGGACGGAATAACCCGACCTTCTTCTGCAAGCGGATCACGCTAGTCCACTTTTTCTCCAAGAGGCCCGTGTATTTTGCTTTGGGATCAGGTGTGTACTCTGTGCCAGTATCTTCTTTGAGTGCATTGAAGGCGGCCGCAAAGCCACTCGCGTGTAAATAGTCAAGCATGGATTTATGGCTGGAATTTCAATAAGACACCAGAACGTTGTAATGGTGAATATTGCCGACGCACAGGTCCATCCTCTGTCTCTCGGACAGCAAAGACATTCCAGTAACTAGTATCGTCCTCGAGTACAGTTGATCTTATCGTGGTAGGGGTTGCTAACGCGTCAAATGGCCCTCAGTGAAGGCTGGGAGGAGTAGGTGTGATGGTCTGTTTGGCTAGCTCGTCCAACCAGCGCGAGTGGACGCTAACTTGGACACTAGGCAACGATGCCTCAAGTCAAATGGAAACGTATTAAATCCGGAAATGTGTCCCTCCTAAGCCTGTATCTTGACAACCTGTAATGACAACACGTAAAATATAATACTCCAGGCATGGTGGCTGGCCGTTCATGTTGCAGCCGAAAACACGTATCGTCATGTGACTAAACCCTTTTGACGGGGGAAGCCGGGAGAGTGTGTGAATATCAATTTGCTTTTGGTCGGGATTTGAAGCGGTCGAAACGCCAGTTTCTTACACCCAAACCCATTCCATATTCCTCCATTTCCACCATGCTCACCACCCGCGGTGCTGTCGCACGTCTTTCGAGGAGAGTTGTGAACAGCGCGAACAAGACAAACGCGTTCTTCTCTTCCTCGGCCCTCCTCCAGAGAGTCACTCTCCCCTCCCAGACATCTCAACAGCGCTCGCCCGCTTCCCGGCCTTCTCCATCATCGTCCACTTCCGGTTGGTCTTTTTCTGATCTATTCCTAGTATGTGCTTATGGAAAAAAAAAAAATTCTAGCACGCACCTATGCAACTGAAGCCAAGGCCAGCGTCGGGTCGGTAAAAACCGTCATCGGTGCCGTTGTTGATGTTCAATTCGAAACCGACGACCTCCCCCCCATCCTCAACGCTCTTGAGGTTCAGGACTTCAGTGGAGGTCGTCTCGTTCTTGAGGTTGCCTCGCATTTGGGTGAAAACTCGGTCCGCACCATTGCCATGGACGGTACTGAAGGTCTGGTTCGTGGTACCAAGGTCATTGACACCGGCTCCCCCATCATGGTCCCCGTTGGTGCTGCTACTCTCGGCCGTATTATGAATGTTATTGGTGAACCTATTGATGAGCGTGGTCCTATCAAGGGTGTCAAACTCTGCCCCATTCACGCTGACCCCCCGCCCTTCGTCGACCAATCCACCACTGCTGAGGTTCTGGAAACCGGTATTAAGGTCGTCGATCTTCTCGCTCCCTACGCTCGTGGTGGAAAGATTGGTCTGTTTGGAGGTGCTGGTGTCGGAAAAACTGTGTTGATTCAGGAACTCATCAACAACGTTGCCAAAGCCCATGGTGGTTTCTCTATCTTCTGCGGTTCGTATTACCCGCGAAAAAATTTCCAAGCGCCGGCTCATTCTTATTACAGGTGTTGGTGAACGTACTCGTGAGGGTAACGACTTGTACCACGAGATGATTGAGACTGGTGTCATCAACCTCGAAGGAGACTCAAAGGTCGCTCTTGTCTTCGGTCAGATGAACGAGCCCCCTGGTGCCCGTGCCCGTGTTGCTTTGACCGGTTTGACCATTGCGGAGTATTTCCGTGATGAAGAAGGCCAGGATGTGTTGCTTTTCATTGACAACATTTTCCGGTTCACCCAAGCCGGTTCAGAAGTGTCTGCCCTCCTCGGTCGTATTCCCTCCGCCGTCGGTTATCAACCAACCCTTTCCACCGATATGGGTGGCATGTAAGCCCTTATTTTATGCTGAAAATCTCTCTCTTACCTTGCTTGATAGGCAAGAGCGTATCACCACCACTAAGAAAGGTTCCATCACCTCCGTCCAGGCCGTCTATGTCCCTGCCGATGATTTGACTGATCCTGCTCCGGCCACCACCTTTGCCCATTTGGATGCCACGACTGTGTTATCTCGTGGTATTGCTGAACTCGGTATCTACCCTGCTGTTGACCCCCTCGACTCCAAGTCGCGTATGTTGGATCCCCGTATTGTCAGTCCTTGTCTCTCTTTTCATACGCTTCTCTGACGTCGTATATCAGGTTGGCAAGGAGCATTACGACGTTGCTACTGCCGTCCAGAAAATCCTCCAGGATTACAAGTCGCTGCAGGATATCATTGCCATTCTCGGTATGGACGAGTTGTCTGAGGAAGATAAACTCACTGTATGTCTTGCTTCTCATGATGTTCTTAATTTCTCGGCTTGAGCTTTGTTATAGGTTGAGCGTGCCCGAAAAATCCAACGTTTCATGTCGCAACCGTTCCAAGTCGCACAGGTCTTCACTGGTTATGAGGGCAAGCTTGTCCCCCTCAAGGACACTGTCCGCTCCTTCAAAGAAATCCTTTCTGGCGCACATGACTCCCTGCCTGAGTCGGCCTTCTATATGGTTTGTACACTCCAATACTAATGTGAATGTGTCTGACATGACTGCTGTCCACAGGCTGGCACAATCGAGGATGTGAAGGCCAAGGCTGAGCAGCTTGCCAAGGATATGGGCAACTAGATTGTTCAGTTCTTTGGGTGGGGGATGGTTGATTTGTGATTTTCGGGCTCTGTATCACCCGCCATAGAGTTCGAGCTGTCATTCAAAAATAAAATTCCTTATGCTTTTTTAATCCTTAATGCTGTTGGGTTTATTAAGATATTGCACAATACAGCGGGCTATCAGGTAACCACTTGAACCGCACCAACAGGTTGGAAGCTGGAAGCTTGGTTATTCGGCTGGGATTCAATGACACGGCGCTATAGCCAAGTGGTTACGGCGACAGATTAGAATCATAATTCATCTGTTCCTCTTTGAGGGCGCAGGTTCAAATCCTGCTGGCGTCGCTGATATTTTTTGGCTTTTATCCACTGAAGCAGGCGGGCATTTCATTTGTACCTACTGTAATGCACCTTCAAAGCCATAAAGTGCACCTTGCATGAACATGACCCTGTGCATTGGGCCTACAGAGCCCAGCCAATTACACGCCAGCTGAATTTGGAATTTTGACTCGAAGCCGTTCTTATTGCGTTGCATGCCGATCCAAGCTCAGGCCAACACCGCTGGTGACTGTGGGGAGCCTGAGCCATTCTAAGCACTTTAGTTCCTCTCAATCTCAAACTTCGCAGGATGGACAGTTTCGACAAAATAGAGGAATATATGGAATCCCTAGAAGAATATTTCTTCTCCTCTCTGTCTGCTGCAACAACCGATCTCCCAAACATACACGATGCGGTAAACCGGCTCTGGGTCGACATTGCGCGATACGGGCCTGGTATGCCAGCCTTCCCCGAGGTTCGCATCGCTGGGCTTGGTGACTTTGAGGTCCCACCACCACCAACTCCTCTTCCTTCTCCTGCTTCCTCGGGCTGGATTGGACGATCGGCCGGATGGGTTGGTCAGAATCCCTGGAAGACGACCGGAGTCATTATCGGGGTCGTGGGTACTGGCTTGCTGGTAGGATATAGGCTTAGGAGTCGGAGGAGGAGACACGTATATCAGTCTGCAGGTGCTTCCCCTGAGAGGAGGCAAGTTGTCGGTGAGCTTGTTAATCGTCTACTTTATGTCAGTTTTTTGACTAGCCCTTTAGTGGTGCTCGGGGGCGACATGCCAATTGCACTTCCTCTTATTTTGAATTTGGAAAAGAAAGGATATATCGTTATTGCTAGTGTTGCAACCCCTGACGCCGTCGAGAACTTGGAGCACGAATGCCAGGGGTATGTTCGAGCCCTTGTGCTCGACCCCCATGAGGTGGGCTCATTTTATAGCTGGTCTTTCATCTCTCTCATTCTACGCGTAGCCCGCAACTATCCCTGTGTTCTTGCGCTCTCTTGCGTCGACTCTCTCCCGTCGTTTTCCTATGACAGCGGCCGGTGACCCATACGTCTCTCCTGCTTCTCTCCCATACATTCATTCAATAATTTCGCTTCTGACCCTTCCGGAGCCGCTATCCTGCATTCGTGCACCCATCGAGAGTATATCACTCCGCAGCACCTACCTCTCTCACCTCAATGCAACACATATCACCCCACTGCAAGTCATTCAAGCTCTCTTGCCTCTCCTACGGACTGGACCGGCCCGATCGCGCGACAAGGGAAAGAAATCAATCATTATATGCCTGCCAGCCATCGATGCGCGTGTAGGGTTACCATTCTCGGCAACCCAGTCCATGAGTGCTGCCAGTACCTTGCGCGGGGTCGAAGTGTTACGAAGGGAAATCAATGCCGCTGCCTTAACGGGCAAATCAGAGGCTATGAAAAATATCAAAGTCGTTGTAGTTGATGTCGGAGCGCTCGCTGTGGAAACTCAATCTGAAGTTCACCGCGAGGAGAGTGTTTACAAATCTATGGAGGGTTGGACTGCCTCGGAAAAAGTCACATATGGGCCGCCTTTGCCGCCATGACCCGCAACGCGCCTCCTCAGCCTGCGAATTATTGGTGTTCTTTCTTCACGTTATTCAAGGATAGCCATCAATACCAATTCCAGCGGAAACCGAGCGATATTAATATCTTTGTCAATAACATTGTCACGACGGTCAGTGGTGGGCGATTCGGGCCAACCGTTTTGGGTCTCCATCTGGGGAGGATAGCGAATTGGGTTCGTGGAGAGCGATTCTCCGTTGGTGCAGGGGGTAAGAGACTTTCCCCTCTTCCTTGGTTGTTTCCCATATCAATTTTTGCAACCTACAGCCAGCACATATAGGCTCGCTTCACATTTCCCTGCCTTCCTCCTGGACGGCCTTCTCAACCTCCCTCATGTCCTGATTTCTATTCGCAATGCGCTTCTACCCGCGTCCCCCTTTGTTCTGCCTCCGTCCCCAAGAACGGCGCCAAGGTCACACCCTGTGCCACATACGACTCCCACCCCGCAACTTGATGAGGCCAGGCCAAACACAGCCTCTGATAATGATCAATCTGACACTACCTCCGACGTGGATGTCGAGAGCAATTCTGGTGGGTCTGGAGCCGATAGCTGGGTGCGTTTGAAGACGGAGGATTGAAATTGAAAGAAATATGCTTGCGGACGACCGAATTGACTGCTTATTGTCAAAAACCCATACTCATTTCATTGTAACCACCAGCACCACCACTTCTTTACTTATTTGTTCTGACTTCACTGTATTCTTTGGTTGTTTGAATAGTATTCATCCCCAACTCACATGCTGTCCCTCCCCATCTTCCTGAATATCAATTGTGATGTCAGTCGCATCTCCTGCGCAAACATGACTGAGATCTGGCAACCTGATCGTCTCCAAATTTAGGTTTCGCGCGCCAACCTGTGGCACCCCCACGTTGTTCTTCGTCTTTGCTTCCAAAGATTCTGTACGATCGTTGATTCGAGTCTATGGGTGCCGGTGAGTATCTACACGCCTCTAGTTTTTCCTCAACTACATCTTTCGCTGTGCGGAGGTATTACGCTCTGGCTAGTTCCTTCAAGTGAAGACATCGTTCGGCTGAAAAATGTTATGAAATTACGACCAGAATCGCAACCGTCAGCGAAATCTTATCCTAATTTTGTTCCACATATCACTCTGGCTAAGTTCCCGCCCGATGGTGATATCCCATGCACGAATTTGCGCTCTTCCGTTCCGCCCTCCCAGCCCTCCATACCCATCAAATTCCAATCCATCGAGGTTGGCACACATTTCTTCCGATCGGTGTATATCGCCGTACAGAATACGCCCGCCTTGAGCGCGCTGCATGCCCACGTTCACTCCACTTTGGGTCTGGACCGCGCACCCCCGCCTTCCCGCACCTCTCGTTGTGCTATATCGCTGACGAAGATGCCGAGTCCGGCGAGAGGGACATGTTCTTTCAAGAACTGAAGAGGGGCCGCTATCGTGCGAGGGCGGACGGATTTGGTATCAATTGCGCTGAGAGCGAGGAGGGGGACGATTGGCTATTTGGTTTTGAAGCTTCCGAGATTTGGGCGATGAAGTGCGAGGGCCCCGCCGAGGATTGGGTGTTCCTTGAAGCAGTCCCTCTTCATTCTTCATTGGACGATGTATAAGATAGGGTGCGCATCATCTTCGTACATAAATCCATTTGACGGTGTCCGACTTAGAAATGTTGTAGGCTAATTCCTACAGTTCCTCCACAATTGATATGTCAGTTGGATGTGCTGCTGTCAGCTCCGGTGTGCGGATTTAAGTGCCAGGTTACTTGGGGCTTATTTAATGGCTCTCGGGGTCAAAATAATGAGCCAGCGGGGACGTCCTAAAGATCATTAGATCAGAGACGCTCTCAACTCCCCTGGAAATGCGCGGCGAACCAAGGATCATGTTCTTCAAGAATTTGAGCGCCTTCGCGCAGGACGCGCTGTAACCGGGTACCCTGTATAGACCTTCATGCCTGTAAAACGTCGGTGAATATGTTTGATGCTCAAGTTGTTGAAGCGTTGTAGGGGAGGAGATCTTGTTGAGATTGTCAACATTGAGGCCTGAGCGGAACCTACCAAGAACAATAGCACATCTCTCAGATGGACACGATTTTGTAGGCTCACCACAGACCCGTTCAAAGCAAAAGTATAGCAAGTCCCTGCGACCAATTCACCGCTCCCATGATCAATACGGAACTCCTCTCTAAACTAAGTAACAAAATATCTCATCAATAATGAGCCATCCCTCCAGCACGTTCAAGGACGGGGATCTTCAAGCAACAAGCTGGGTGTGGCCGTCTAATATCATTCTCTTCGCATCCATCGTCGCTCTTGTAGGATCTGGCACATGGTGAGGAGACACCACCGCTACACCGCAGAGAACGCGTTAGATATGAATACCTTCCCTGAGTCTGTATTTCTGTCTAGACTCTATTGACTTCTCAAGCCGGGCAATGAGGCCGCCCCCCAATTTAAAATGCTTGACGCGATCACCTGACCACAGCGTGGACGGAGGCTCAAGTGCACCTCTGATTGGCGGACTCCTTTTGAAGAGTCAAAGCTGTTGTCAGCCTCCCGGAGTATATATAAATTTTCTGAAAGTTCCCTCTTTCTCCACTCCGGTCGCAAACGCGATATGCACACCCTCCAAATGGCAATGGCGGGCGCCGTCCTAGTCGCTGGCTCAGGATTTGCCTGTGTTATCAGCCCATGGAACTGGTAGCCCCCTTGGACGCCACGATCACGGCTCCGATAAGTGAGGCCGGGTCGATTATCCTAATTCCCTGTGACTGGGGATACAAAACACGCCCTTGGTTTGTGGTGTGCGCAAGTCAGCCCCAGTTGGTCGGCCGCACTACATGTAGTAGAGGTGCGTACCCACTCGCATCCCATCATATCAAGGTGCGCTTGCCACCACCCGCGCATAGTTGCGGCTAGGGACGGTTTGCCGCGCAATTTGAAGATGGCCTGACCTTCAACGTCACACGTGTATCGACACGAGGCTCAATTCACAGTACCGCCAAGGAGAAGGGGAATTAATAAGCCCAGTGGCATTTAAGATAGTTTATTTCAACACTGAAATATCTAGTCCATGCGGCCTGATACACTGCGGACGGGGTATCGATGCGGGGGGTAAAGTGGGAGGAAATCAGATCATACCAAATCAAAGCTAGGTGGGAAGGAGCAAGAGAGCAAGCATGCAGGATTTAACAGAAAGACGGAAAGAAAGCGGACTATGATGAAGCAGCTCATCGCAAAATGGTCCGCGCTCTTGGCGGCTTGAGAGCACTGGCGCTGCCCGTACTCGAAGTCCGGTGCATCCGCACAGAACCAGAAGAGAATAAGGAGGAACCGGAGGAGGAGCGGACCTGCGCCCTTCGGAGCTCCTCATCGATGCGCCACATTCCCCTAACGAAGCCGTCGCGGTCGAGCGAGCCATCGTTGTTGGTGTCGCACTCAGACCTACAAG